CATAATAAAATGATTACAAGATTCCGTGATAATAACTGATATTACTTCCCCTTCACCCCTTGCTCTTAATGACCCACATTATACCACCCTCTCTGAACCTGTTATTCATCACAGTGCGATGGTAATATTTACTTACGCTTCAAGCTCCTTGATCTTTTCTGCCATCTGTGTCTGTAGACGCAAATATCGTTATTAGTGTTTACGATACCATGTTGACTTGATTTGAGGGTTTTTCAAATAAGAAAATTAATCTGTCTTATTTCCCGTTGTTTATACGACGACATATTTCTTCTCACCTTATCTTGTTCTTTCTCTTTCTTCACTCTGGAATTGTAAAGCAACCCAAAAAATGGGTTCAAATAATTCTTTGGTGTATCAAGTATGAAAAGTGACAATAGATTACCGCCCCCAGATCCCTTCCTCTACGTGGTATTCACTAATAAAGACCTCTCGAACCAGAGGACCCCTGTGACATGTACAGTGAGATATATACTTACGCCTGCAGCTCGTTCTTAACTGCTTCTAACTCGCTCTGAAGAAACAATAAAATAAACGTTATTAGTATTTTTACAAATCTAAATATAATAATATAAGAAACAATAAAATAGACATTATTAGTTTACTCAACTAAATATGTTGGATCCGGAGCCCTTATTGGTTACAATTCACGTCTTATGCTGCTATACTCACCTATAGGTGAATATATGGCGCGCATGCTCATTCTCGTTTGTGGAGTTTATGCCAATTGAATAAAACGAATAAAACTTTTAAAGACAAAAAACTCTCCAATATTAATCTAATTAACTTGTGTTTAAAATACTAGTTGAGCGGCGAGGTAAATATTTCCTAATATTTACTGAGCCCGAATAATTGTTAATTGTTAGCTTATTGCATGCTTTGTAGAATGCTCTTTATATTTCTGTTACACATCCCATCATTTTATCAAGTGATCATATTCTAAAGCTATTTTGAGGTTTTCAACACCTACCTTTCGTTTCTCGTTGAGAGTAGCAAATCTGAAAATATGAAATAAAGAAAAGCAATGACAGAAATAGTTAAGTCTAAGATCTATCAAGATCCACTTGTACTGATAATTAACCAATAAATCAAGCAAAAAGTGATAGGAATGTTTGTCCCCTAATTAACCATCCCACGCTTGTCTGACAGACTAGAACACTAAGAATACTCACGCTTGCAGCTTCTTAAAGTTGTTTCTCTGCAAATACAATTACATACAATTATTATATGATATCTTAAAATGTAATCGAAAGTTCTAATCGTGAAAGAAATCAAGATTCCGAAATTCAAAGATCCCCCATCGTTTCTTATATATAGTTTTGGAGCTTTTAATCGAGAAGATATGATAATCCATGTTTTTATTCCCCCGCAAAGAGTACCCCGCAAAGATTGCAGCATTATGATACGAAAATTTAAAACAAGAATCATTTTACCTTAATAATGTCAATTTGCTTCTTGAACCTGAAACCGCATAAAAAAATCGCTGTTATCATCTAGTTTTGATTTTGTGCAAGACGACAGGCAGGAAGACAACCAACTATTCCCCCATCCCAGTACCCCCCAAAACGCCTATTATCTTGATGAACCACCATCATACAGTTTCCATACTTACATCGTGATGTCATCAGTGAGATTTCTCAATAAAACCTGCAACCAAAATATCAAGAATCAAGAATCAGTCAAACCAAGTCAAATCAACTAAATTAGTTCTCTTAAGTAACATTTAAGTGACATGGCGGTGCTTTTATGTCGTCTGCAGCGTTTAACGCTAGTTTTCTTATGCTCAGTGAATACTGTTTTATTACCTTGTTAAGATACTGCTTCCATCCAAGGCTGAAACATCACAGTAAATAGAAAGGATATAATTAACAACACAACGAACATATAACTAAACGAGCAAGGAACTGGTACCAAGTTTCTCAAACTTTATTGAAAAACGAAACCCCACGACAAGAAAGATCATATAACAATCAGTTAGGGGAAAAAATAAATAAATAAATAAAATAAAAAAGTAAATTGGGCACATAAAGAATTTCCTAAACTAAAGAGAATGATGTATGTGTGGCTGGACGGTTTGACAGAACACCATCGTTTCACTGTAACATTGGTCAGTGTTTGAATTATCATTAAATTGCAACAAAACATCTTGAAACTTGGTCAAAAAGCCAGTTTGCTGTATTTTGTATGTTGTTTTTTCATGTGATGGAGTTACTTTTACTGGAATCAGTTAACTTTGTTGGTTTTATTAACTTTATATCAGTCCCTTGCTTGTTTTGGTAAATGTAATGTGAAGTATCCTGAGGTATCCTATTGTTTACAGAAATAATAAATAAATATTTCTTGATAATTATTCCATTTATAAGAGCCTTGTTGGATCTTTACACCAGGAAGAGCATGCTAAGCATCCTGGGTCGAAATGATGACCCTTATGTCAGTTGACATCTCTTCGTGTTCGTGTGGCTTGAGAACCTCTTCCCCTAMTATTCAAGTCATTCTAAAGTGGAGGGGGAGGGGGATGTTTCTGTAGCTAGAGTAGATGTTGGTCTATCAATTGGAATCATCTACTGATCACAACCCATTTCAAAGTAATAAAATTAACTAATATTAAATTGATCTCTACATGAATTATATAAATACATGACTAATACTCACGACTTGATTGTGTTGTTTTTTGTGTTAACCATCTCCTGATGATGAATAAAACATCATTGTTAATACTATTAGAGTGCATACCATATATCTATGAGAACGTTAACTAACAAAATTGTACAAATTGATGCAAAGTTTTGTATTAGAAACGTTTTCACTTAGTTGTGTAAAAGTAAAATCACTCGATTCCATTCGTTTTCCCGCGTGTGTCGTTGTTGCAGTTTTTCCAACTCTATACGGTTTTCTGAACTTAGTATTCAATTTATGCAATTAATTTCAGTCTTACAAAGGTTTTCATGTACATATGGTATGCAAGGGTCAATCCAGGGCAGAGGGCTTGAAAGTCTAACCCCCACCTTTTTACAGCTCGTTGTTTCCCTCCATCGTAAACCTTTTCCATTGAATGTCGTGTCTCTTATGTAGGTTTATAAATTGAAAGCCAAATAATGGTGTCGTGTTTTGAAAAGTTATGACTGGTAAAATGTATGTATGACGTCAAAGATGACGACACTTATTGAGCGAAGTTTATGGACCCCAACCCTCCCCACTCCCTCAAAAAACATCCTGGATCCGCCCTTGCACACTATAACTCTATTAATTGTTTGAATATTTTAGTGTTTAAGGAGGAGTTCAACACTTCAATATTTCTACAGTGTATTACCTTTAAATCTTCGTTCTCAGCTTCCAACCTGAAAAGGTCAAAGCAAAGTCTCATAGTAAATAAATGTTTATAATAACTTTTTATGCAGTCGAAGTTATAACGAGTTTTCAGATGCCATTTATATCGATCAGTAGAAGAAAGTAGATGCGTGGCGATAGAAGAGAGAGGCGAGGCAACAATGGAGGGGAAGGACAAACAAACATGTATTTATCTGACTTACTCTTTGCAAATGTCTTTTTTTTGAGTTAACACTCCATTAATTCTCTAGAGAACGACAAAAATCATTAAAAAAGTCAGTCAGGCAGGCAGGCAGGCAGGCAGGCAGGCAGGCAGGCAGGCAGGCAATAAAAAATCATATAATAATAACCATATTTACCTCGTTTTCTTGTCTCAAACTATCAATTTCATCCTGCAAATAATTCATTTTATTAACATTACAAAAACGATCGTGGTACCACTCCTGGGGACTTGTAATTGAACGTTAATGTGATTAAAAAATGCATGAGCAAGTTCAAATGCCTTTTTGATGAAATTCTTTTTATTCAATCAAACAGGCCATCACACTTAATGTTCAGTCTAATTCCCTCAAGGCAAAGCTCTTTTTGTAAAATGCAAATTTTCTTCTAGTTTATGAATAGTCAAGATTTAGTTCCATTAAACACACTTGATAATGAGGTCAGCATGACCTGGAAACGTCGTGAATTACTGTATGTATCGTTTCTTATATTACTAATCAGAAAATATTCAGTTCAAGTATTCAGTATAACAGAATAAAAATTGAAAATAAAATCGAATTAACAAATAAACCAGAATGAATTAATCATTTTATAAATACATAACAAATAGGAATTAATATAAACTTTTTTTCCCTTTTTTCCCTTGTTATAGTATATACCAACAAGGTAATATCAAAAAAAATAATTTTTC